CGGCATTGGCAGCAGGAGTTGGGGATTTGCCCTTAGCCTTGGAAGATCCCTTAGGACAGTGTGAATGTTTGCTACCTTTATCACTCTCTGATGGGTCGTCACCATTGGAGGAACTTGATTCGCACTGTTCTTCACCACTGGAAGTGTCTGTGTCCTCTCTTGAGGTCGATGGCTCTGGAACCTTGCCATTCTTGGTGGACTGCTGCCTTGGGGCACCATGCTGAGTTGGGGATTGACTGCCCACTCCTTCCATGGCGGATGCACCACTGGTTGGTAAGAATTTGGAAACTGGCATGTCACTGAAAAAACGAACTGTGGGCAAAGACTGAACTAACAAGGTGTTAGGAAGAAATACGGAGGCATTTGGGTTAAAGACCTGTGGCAAGGAATTGGCCACTTGTACGCCTGCTGCCTGGTGAGAAACATACGAGTCTACCGTAACACACGAAACCGGCGCATTTATTATCCCAGGAGGATGAGTGCTTGCCGCCCCATGTGAAATGTATGCGCCTGACATGACATGCGAAATGTGCGCGCTTGCTGCCCCAGGAAGGTAGGTTCTTGCCGCTCCGTGCGAAACGTATGCGCTTGACATGACATGTGAAGTGTGTTGACTTGCTGCCTCGAGAGGGTTAACACTTGTCACGGGGATGGCCATGCTGTGCTGCATTAACGGTACAGGCTCGGGCATGCGCACGTTAAGATTGACAGGGGTATTCATACCAATATCAGCGGTGGATAAGGGGAAAACGCTTGGAGAGACACACACACACACAAAAGACACTCGATGTCCCTGCCTCCAAATATGGGTTTTTTTTTTGGGGGGGGGCTGATTTTTTTTATTGCTTTTGCAATTCACCCCCAAAAAGAAACCCTGTCCATAAAGACAAAATAATCAATACATTTATTTATTTATTGGGCGCTGAATACAAACTTAGTCACAATAAGGTTTTTTTTTATTAATAAATGTATTTCCTGATATTCCGATCAAACAATGACAAACACAAAGGTAGTGGGGTACTCCCCTTCCCATATCTTGCTTCAAATGACAATTTGCCTACTTCAAGGCACTTGGCCCCCCAAGTGAGTAACTGACCCAAAATATGATCATCATGATATAAGTATGGCACACTCCTTTAAAATCGTCTGAAATAAATTCTTCAGCACTATTGCACTCCTCACAGTCATGCTGATGGTCAGTACACCAAAATTATACATAAATATGTACAAAATTATACATTGCATAAGGTCTGCAACGGTTACACATGTATCCTCAACTTGATCTATCTACAACATTACAAAATATTACTCATCTAATTACATGGGTACAAGGTCAGCACCAAATTCACATGTCAATAAGTGTTTAACACAATAAATAATATCATGATGAAGCACCAGCGAGACGCGGCCTAAAATGGAATCAACTTGGGAGAGAAAGTGTCACCTGTCAACGGCCAAGAGCACATACTGCCAAAGAGGCCGTTAGGACGTAACTAATCCGCCACTCGCATTACTTTTGCACAACGACCAACGGTCGTTGCCCTCAAATTACAGACTAAAAACATAAATGTGCTTTTAAAGTACTGGCCAATCTTCTCGATAGTGCTTATCAAAAAGATTATACTGTCAGAGTGTCCTAAACCAATCCTTGGTACTAATTAGTGGCTCGTGAGCATAAGACCCTAGTACGCACAAATTGGTGTTTTGAGTAATCATGTCATCCCCAATTTTATGTTTCAGACGGTGAGTGTGCCTCATACTCTGCACGTAAAGTGCCATGTCCCCATACAAACAACACATAACGCATCCACTAGTGGCTGGCAGCAAACTTATTACCTGCGGAAAAAAGTGCTCGGTGTAGCGTTAATCAAGACAACTGTTTCGCATCGGCCGTTTAATCTTGTTTTAATTTCCCAGTTCCGGATGGATTTTTTTCAGTCTGATTAAAATTAATCATTAATTATGTTCTAATAAAAAGATAGCTTGCAGTCCACCTTGTGTACAGGAGATACTACAAAGTACTTTTAAACTTGGACTTTTATGATCGACGAAAGTGACAACGACATTGCCCCTGGTACTGGATCGGTTTCACCAGTTACACCCCACTTTCAATACTTCTTTCGGCATAAAGAGTAATCAAACAATTTCTTTTCAGCAGTAATCTTACAAGTTTATATTCTTCTGAAGAATTTATCATTTTCTCAAAGTTAATTCATATTTCACAATTCCAGTGAATGAAAAAAATAGAAAACATTCCACTCGACTTTTTTGTCTGCACAGCGAGCTACCGGTCTTATCCTCCGCATGTTGCACAAGTAAATTTAAATTCATAACGCCACATACAAATCTATACAGCACCTGTGGTTGAGTTTCAAACAACGCGTGTTTGTACTTACCTGTGTGCGATCCAAAACTTGAAAAACCAACCGGCAGAGTTGAAGTGCACCGGGTGCAACCCCAAGTGGCACAAGAAAGACAGATAATAGCCGTTTTCCAAGCAGGTCCTTGCACGCTTTCTGCGTGTACACAAAGACCATACATTAAGGAATAAATTTGTTACGCGTACTCAGCGCGCTCAACGCCAAACGCGACATTGATATCCATCATAAACGCTCCAAACGCGTCCAAAACACGCCCTCTTTTGATCGGCTCAAAGCGGGTTATTTATACTTTCCAGTTTCCAGCAAATTTTAGAAACAAGAAAAGAAAAAATGGAGACTTAAAACTTCATTTCAATACGACATTCATCAGTGGAAGCGTTGGCTGGTGAAAATGAAAAAGTTCATGTAAACCGACTTGGCATTACATTCACAAGTAGTTAGTGCGGTTCCGCCGCCGACTGTTTGGCTCCTGTTATTTTGTTAAACCACATGTCAAAGTTTGAGTCGGAAATCTAGCCAGAATTCCTTCGCTAGAAATCTCAGGAAAATGAAATTTGCACAACAAGGTACTTAGGCCTAAATTCTACCTTTGAAAACAGAACTTGTCAGAAAAGGTGAAATTGGAAAACACAAAAAGGTAGCGTTTGCTTTCGAGGGATTCTGATAATTAGGCAAACAACTGCAAGTGAGTGGTCTTCTGCGTGCAAAATACCCATTTTTTTCTGTGAGAGGTGTCAAAAGTCGATGGATACGATCCCTGTGGCAGAGACGATGACTAACCCACCGCTACTGAGCCACCGTGTCCGATAATTGGTTTGGAGCCATCTGAGAAAGCACATGCTACCCGCTGCACGCATCATGCGATCGGTCGGTTTCGGCATATAAGCGCGGCGGACGGCTAACCCCACAGTTCTCGGGGAAATCTACGGGGCGGTCCAAGTGCATTCCCCACATCAATCTCCCCAGGTTACCTTGTTTCTGAAGAAAATGGATTCGTTAAGTACAAACGTCCCATGGCATATCACTTATCGGCAACCACAGGAAATTTTAAGACTCTGCCCAGGCACGAATCATTGTGAATGTAAATGTTATTTACAATCTGCAGTGGGACAGTTCAGTTCATTAGCCCTCTAGTCCTGTGTACAGATCCTGCTAAAAAGGAAAACCCTGCAGTGTGTGTAAACAAGTAGTGATGAAAAAAAGGGGGAAAAAGTGAAACATTCAATTTAACAACTGTGACAGCAGGTCTGTGTCGCACCCGGCTTATACCAGGCAAAAAATGAGACTGTTACCCACCCTTTATGTCCAACCCTATTTCTTTTTAGCCTTTTTTCGAAAAGGCATCCCTGTTGTCATTGTATTTCCCCCTTTTTCCTTTACAATAAAGTCAGTCACATTGTCCACGTTTCTTCCACCATCGACTTTAGTCCATTTCCAGCTTTGTATCCTCATTAAACTTACACAAATGCTACATACAGTTGACAAGTCACATGGCACTGAAGGTGCACACACCAAGCGCTATCTTTACGATGTACTTGTTTGATTAAGTTGAATCCCTGCAGGCAGGCTGCCATGGAAAACCGTCTTTGTGCAAGTCTTTTAATCAATGTGTTTTACACAAATTTTTAATATGAAAACACGAATCACCTTTCCAAAACCTCAGAAATGCAAAAACATACATGTTGTGTCTCCAACGAGCCACTATATGTTGTGTACCAATAAAATAATACTTTTCTGTACTGAGCTAGAAACGAAGAAACTAGAAACGAAGTACTCAAAGTGCAATTCGCCTGGATTACTCAGTCGTCTACATGTATGTAGCAGGTGCATGAGTTTCATTTCTTTTTTTTCCAGGAATGGATTTTAATTCGACTGACTGACCCGCCCTCAACTGAACAAACGATATGGGAATATCAAAGGTGCCCTCAGTGCACAGACGCTTCATGTATATCACGTGGTTAGCAAAGGTCGATATGTACTAAAAGAAATCGTCCTTTTTCGGTGTATAATGTAAACTGTCAGAACGCTGCTCGTTCCAGTTTCATGACAGATACAGGTGAGGTGTTCTGAGGCATCGACTCAATATGACTCAGTGGATACTTGGGAACACTTTTTCTATCATGTGGACCCTCGCCATTGGAGTTATTGTCATCTTTTTAGTGTAAGTTCCTTAATTTCATCAGTTTCGATGGGATCGATGAAGACCCTTCCCTTTCATTACGCAAGCTCGCAATGGGTAAACTACAGATTCATTTTGGGCGACACATTTTCCCACTTACGTAAAATTACTATCTCGTAGCGGCGAAATGATGTCTTGCCAAGGCGGATTAGTATCTCACCGCAGCGACTCACTGTCTTGCCGCAGCGAGTTCAATCATTAAATGCCTATTTCGCCATGGGGAGGTGTACGATCTTGCTGCAGGGAATATTTCAATAGTTTCATGAATCCTATTCAGTGTACCATCGTTTTCAACTATACATTTAGCGTAGAATGCAATAAAATTTGGTCTCAAATTGGTTACTGCGAAAAAGGGATGTTACATTTAAGCAAAGCTTGTTTTCCAACTCAGGAAAACAAAAGAAATCGGATTTTGTGGCGTGAACTTGCAGATTCACATGAGGGGCAGACTGTATTCAATTTCTTCCTACGTTGTCCCAGTGCCAAACAAAAGCAAGTGGACTGGAAAGTTACATTTGAATTGACATCAGTCAACATTTGTAAATTTATAGTACTTAAATTGGAGCACAAAAACAGCACTTTTACAAACGCAACGCATGAAATTCTTCACAGCTTTCGACGCTCAAAGCATTTTAGGCTAATATAGTACGAGTGCACAAGTGTCAAGCAGACCGCGCTCAAAATGTGTTTAAATTTTAAAATAAAATTCGTCGATTAGAGTTCTCGAAAAATAAAAACAAAACAAAACGCCATTCGGCCTTTCTACCGCCTTCTAATATATTTGCCTGTTTTCCTTTCCCCCATTTTTTCTGGATTGCTTACAAAAGCAGTAGCCTTGACAACCATTTCCATCCACACTGTTGGCTAAGGGCGCTCTGATTGAGCTGCCATTTTATTCTCTTGAGGCGGGAAAATTTTACTGTATATCCAGTTTTATCACCATAGTCAGAACTACCCTTTGTTCCTTTTTAGCGGTGTTTGTGGGGGGTTTTTGTTTGTATGAACTTTAACAGACTCTTCATAAAGCCACTGATTTATTCTTCCCAACGAAATCCGTACCCAAATGAATGACAAGCCCTGGATAACCCTGGAACTAAAATCGCTCATTGGAAAACGCCAACTTGCCTTTTCCGATAACAAGCTCCACCTTTGCCGTTTCCTGCGGAACAAGATATCAAGAAGAATTAAACAACCTAAAACAATTTCTACACTCTTCCTGTGCGCAGGTTGAAGAAAAATAACCCCAGGAGTTGGCATCAATACGTAAAGAAACTCTCGGGCATTAAGTTCCATTCTGACGTGTGTCTTCCCGGGGTCATCACCTGTTGACATTGCTAACAAGATCAACCATAGATTTATATCAGTGGCCTATGAAATTCCATGTCTAGATTACAATACACCTACCTGCATATCTGCCTGCAGAATTACCTTACCCTATCAGTTTCCGCACAGGAGGTATACAAAAAAACTAAAGAGCGTTCAGGCATGCAAGAGTGGAGGCCCTGTTTGCATATGAACTCTGTTTTCTGTTGACAGGTATTTTCAATTGCTCACTTCAATATGACATTGTTCCGGCTATGTGGAAAACTGCACATGTGGTACCTATTCTCAAGACGCACACTCCAACCATGGACAAACTACGACCCATCTCTCTCCGTGCCTTTTTGCAAAGATTTGAGAGGATTTTGTCACTACTTGGATCAACAGCGACTTGTGTAATATGATAATGACCGTAATCAATTTGGGTCATTAAAAAGATCATCTACATCACATTATTTGGTTTGTTTGCTTGATGGAGTCTATAGCGGAACATATAAACCTCATACCTCTGCTTTATAACCGATATAGACTTTAGTAAAGCCTTTGATAGAGTTGATCATCAAATTTTAATCCAAAACTTTAAGAAGTGTGGAGTTCGATCTTCTATAATCCCTTGGATATGTACTTTTTAACCATCCGATCCCAAGATGTTTGTTATAATGGCACTTTATCAGAATGGTCGACTACCCATGCAGGTGTGCCAATTTCCTTTTTAACGATGACCAATGATGCAAGTTCATCCAGCAATATGGATGGTATGTCTTTTGTCAGGTTACAACAGAACCTGCTCAGCCTCAACTTATGCAGCTGGATTAGACTGTTTTAATCAGTGGGCCTTGTCAAATTACATGAAACCTAATCCTTGTCAGTGTAATTTTATGTACATTAATTTGAACGATCCTCACCGGATCCTCTCACCCTGCAAATGGGGAACTTGTCCATCCATAGAACTAACTGTTTAAAAATTCTTGGTGTTCTCGTTCAATATAATTTAAAATTGGACAACCAAATAGATTGTAGGTGCAAAGCATTTAATACCAGACTGTTTTACCAGCGTCAATTGAAACGTAGTGGGTTCCACTTTCTGATTTAATCACCGTGTATGTTCAGTATGTCAGACCAACTTTGGAATACGTGACACCTGTCTGGCATCCTGGTTTGTTAAAAAAACAAAGAGAATGCCTTGAACAATTACAACATAATACTCTCCGCACACTTTTGCCTTATGACTATCGCGCTAACCACTTTTACAGTGAAATCTGCTTAAGACTAAATTACCTTTCTCTGTTTCAGCGTAGAGAGCAGCTGTGTTCCAGTTTTGGTAAATCCTTACTTGACTCCCAAAAAATCAGACACTGGGTTCCTCCCACTAGGAACAATGGCTTAAGAAATAACAATCAATTAAGCACTTTTAGATGCAGGACAAAGCGGTATAAAGGGAGCACAGTCCGTCATATAACATACTTGATAAACAAGGACATGCTAAAGTCTCTCAAAATACATCCTGAGTCCTCTGGATTTTCATCTTTCCATTTTGGTCATGTGATAAACTGTCTGCATTTTTGGCATCCTATTCCTGTAGTTAGATCCTGGGGATTGCAAAGTCTTCACAAGCCAAATGCTGTTAGCTGTATTACATGGTTCTCCTGAAGAAGATCCTTGTGAGATGAATTTAAGGCTATTCATGGTGAAGGACAGCAACAGGTGGAAAGGCATGCGGTAGCACTATGTTCTTTTCAGAACCACACATACTCATAAGAGAGATATATTCCTTCGCATGGCGCTACCGCAATGATGGTGAGGGTTGGTTTTGGGAGGTGTGGGGTTGGTTTGCATTGCGGGTGGGGTGTGTGTACACTTTGCATGTGTGTATGTCGGTACGTTGGTTTGTACGCATGTATCTAGTGTTCATTTTGGTTTTGTATGCCATTTTGATCCCTTGTTTGATACAATTTTGGTGTTTTTATCAGTCAATTTTATATAAACCTTTTATTTGATGTTAATGTCTGTATTTTTACAATTCTGTTTTTGATATAGTTCATTGTTACTTTTAAATTTTTAATGTAATGTGGGGAGATAAGGTTTGGGTCGACTGAAAGCAAGTTTAGTTTTGGGACGTGACTGCAAGTACGCGTTTCTTAGGAAAAGGTTTTACAGTGTCATTCCAGTCTGAAAGCCCGTTGGCGACTCCCTTTTTGGTCACGCTGCCCTACTTGTGGTGCCAGGGACCCGTAAAAATCAATGCATTCGAAACCTTGGATGATATTTGTTTATCTCATGACTTACTGAATATTAATTGTATCGGGAAAGTACTCGGCAAAGGCAAACTTGAAATTATACGAAGGGGGTATAAACAGAATCCTGGAACAGCCCATGTGACTAAACTGACGCAATGGCCTGGTACATTTAGTATGTGAGATATAAGACTGTGTGGCCGTAATTCTGATTGATAAACTGCTGTACATCGGAGCTGGACGGACTTCTCGTCCCTGGAAAAACCGTTAGTGTGGGCGATTGTCCTACTTTTATAATGCTTTCAGGGTCAGGAGGGGCTCTCTGGATATTCCTGTCGTCACAGGTTTAGTTCAAATATACTGGTGTGCAACAGTTGGGTTGCATCTGATGATGTAATTTCTGTGCAAGAGTTTGTAAGAAGACAATAAACTTACGAACTCGCATATGACCCTACGGCATACAGTGTGTAAGCCCCATGCCAAAACCGTTCCAGTGATCGTGAACACCGCGTAGGCCTATTTCATCTGGGTGCATAATCATGTGCTTTTGATATGAAGGCCCGAGTGAATGGACGCCACTGAATAGTGTCCTTGGCCATGGGATGCAGTCCAC